AACCGGGGATTGAACTCAGGCCCTTGCACTTGCCAGGGAAGTGCTTATTCCACTGAGCCATCTCCCTGGCCCCTAAAATGGCAGAAGTGTTTTCTTTTGTTTTTTTGTTTTGTTTTGTTTTTTTGCTCCAAATGCCTTCATGGCATGATTGGCTGGCTTGTGTTGTGGGGATCAAACCACAACAACCTGAGCCTGACTGCTTTGTTGACACAGCCACTTAAAGAACTGAGCTAAGGGGCAGGCCCCCCTAAAAAAAAATACTTGAACAAACAAAATTAAAAATACTTGAACAGCTAATATGCACTACTTAGTAAATAAAAACATTTCCTCACTATTACAATTAAAAAGGCTTGATTTTTAAGAAACGTTTGAAACTATTACAAAGAGGTTGGCAATATTTTAAAAAATATTAAAGCCAGGGAGATAGCTCAAGAGCATAAGTGCTTGCCTGGCATGCTCAAAGTCCCAAGTTCGATCCCAGGTACCACAAAAAAAGAGAAATGATTAAGTCTTCAAAAAATAATAATAATAATAATAATAATAATAAGGGCTGGGGAGATGGCTCAGTGGAATAAGAGCTTGCCTGGCAAGTGCACGGGCCTGAGTTCAATCCCTGGTTTTGAAAAAAAAAAAGTCTTTATCTTTAAAAAAATAAAAAATAAAAAATAAACTGGAAAGGCTTAAATTATGGTACATCCATATCCTAAGACACTATAGCTGTTAGAAAGGTATAGCTACATAGAAAAATGTCAAATATCATTAAATGATGAAACAGAACAATAACCACAGCAAGATCCCAGAGCTGGAGCCAGGGAAATAGCTCAGTAGAATAAGTGCTTGCCTAGCAAGCGCAAGGGCCTGAGTTCAATTTCTGGTTCAAAAAAAAAAAAAAAAGTCTCAGAGCTACACTGAGGAAAGAAATGCAAACCCTAGAGTATGACTCCTTGGTTCAAATCTCAGCTTTGCCACTCACCAGCTGTCCAACTCGGGCTAACTGCCATACTTGTCCACATCTAAGTTTCTTCAACAGCAATGTTAACTATTAATGTGCATGAAAAGTGAAATCTTTCTTTTTTTGTCCTGCTGCTAGTTATTTTAAAACTAAAAATATCACTTTAGTAACTAAAAATACTAATAAAAACGTGGTACTAAGATCTTCCCTGTTAAAGATCTTCTCATGTAACTACTGAAACACATAAAACCAGACAAATTCTATGAATAGTTACATATTAAA